TCCTTTCTTCCTTCCCTTCCTTCCTTTCCTTTCTTCCTTCCCTTCCTTCCCTCCTTCCTTCCTTCCTCCTTCCTTCCTTCCTTCCTTCCTCCTTCCTTCCTTCCTTCTTCCTTCCTTCCTTCCTTCCATTCATTTCTCTCGCTGGCAGGCACTCTGAGCCTGTGCTCTGGCTGCCGGCCGGGGTTACACGGGAACGGGATGGGGGGAATGTCCTATGTATTCCAGACAGTATTTTTATGGTATTTTTATTTGGGGACTTTATATCATAGTTTCTTCCATGGGTCGTTCATTGAACGGCCTGATAATACTCCTAGATTCGCAGAGTCATTAGGAACATTGAATAAAGGGGTGCGCGGTGTGCGGGGCCTGGGGAAGCCTGGACCGACCTGCCTTCCACTGTTGTTGTTACTCATCACAGCGGGAGTTGGTGGTGCCCAACGGCCTGCTTCTGCGATGGCCTCATCCGTGCCTGGGGCGCTCGTGGATGGCAGGGGCGCCTGCTGCAGGCCAGTCACAGGAGACCCCGGCTGCTGGGGGTTCTGTTTCTCAGCTGTGTGAGCTGGGCGGGCTTGCTCACAGCCCTGCTGCCCCGGTTCCTCACCAGGACGAGGGATTAGTCACAGTAGAAGTCGTCCATCCACTGTGATCTACTGCAGAGGGCTGGTATGAGGATGTCCTAGGCGAGTGTTTGTAAGGTGCTTCAAAGAGTGTCTAGCGCCTAGCAAGTGGTGATATTATCAGAGAAAAGGATGAATACATGGCTGGGCTCTGATACGTATGGGAGGGGGAAGGGCCATGCTGTGTGGCGGAAATGTCTGGAAGCTGGAGGTGACGCTGAAGACAACAAGACCCCGGCACTTCCTCCTGGAAGGAAAAAATGGCCCCAGGTGGGAAATATTTAGAAAGGCCTGCTGAGACAGAAGTGTCACTCCTGTTGCGGAATTTTCCAGGCTCTTGCCAGAAGATATTTACAAGTGAGAGGGGTGCTTATTAGCCTTGGGCGGCTGGCATATAAGCCTGTGTAGAAACTAGAGATGGGGTTCTCAGATGAGCTCTTAAGGTCCTGTTTGATGTACTACCGAGATTAATTTCATAAAATGGACTTTGGTAAAAGCTAAAACATGACTTAAGAGATGGATGCATAAAAAGCAATCAGAAAAGGAATAAAAATGTAGCTCTCTGGTTTTCCTTATAGGAGTTTTGTTTTGTTTTGTTTGCTTCTAATATTTGGAGACTTCCAGGAATATACAATGTGTCACTTAAAACCCAACAGTATTTCCACTGAAACCACTATTCCTTCAGCTGAGCTCTTGGAGAAATGAGGATTTTGCAATAGGAAGCTTTTGTGTAATATTCTACCTTCCACAGTCCCACTCTTGAATCTGTCTTCAGCCCCTTCTACATGGTTTGCTTAGCTCATAGCTTGGTCCTGAATTAGCATTAGGCTCAAGTCTACCCCTTGAGTCTGGAAGGACACAACCACTCCTGGCCCAGGTCTTAGCACGAACCCTCACCCAGCTCAAAAGGTGGGAGATGGGCACTCCACACAAGCATTCAGAAAGCCCAGTCTCCTACTTTGCTAGCACATGACAACACACAGTCTACCTACTGACCCAGCTCCCAGCTCCTGTGGCCCACAGGCTGTGGTCTGAGGCTGCTGGTGGTAGAACCTGTGGATGGGGATGGCTTTGGCAGGCTGGTGTGGGTGGCTTCGGTGGCCGGGGCTCCCGTTACCTGCATCAGGGTGACCGGCTGTGCGGTTGTTCCTGGGACTGGTGGCTTCTGATAGGCTTTTGTCGCCTCACCTGTAAAAGAGATGAAATGATACTGGGGCCTACAAAATCGTTGGTAGGCTCTTGAGTACAGAAACAAAATAAATGTTTATTGAATGCTAGCTTTGAGCAAAGATCTGTGCTAGCTGCTGTAGAGGATAAGATCCACCTGTCTGAAAGGAATGTACAACCTGGATGGAGCAATGAGCCAATAAACAAACCAAACACTAAATAACAATAAAATATTTAAACAATTTTAAAAAATATTTAAATACAGCAACATAGAGAGGGTAGAACTCGATTAACAGTGAAATTAATTTGCCAGACGCCAGAAGCAATGGTTCATGAACTTTCTTTTTCTTTCTGTCTTTCATCCTCCTTCCTTCCCTCCTTCCTCCCTCTCTCTTTCTTTCCTTCTGTGTCAGTTAGCATTGACCTAGGGATGGAAGGAACCCTTGGGGCTTTCTCTATGATTGACTCTTAGAGAATGCATTCTAGATGTTCTAGCTTAGACTGGTTCATGGCTAGTCAACTAACTCCTCTGGGTCCCAGTTTTCTCATCTGTAAAATGGGGTGACAGAAATAATTAGATGGTAAGGATCATCTAGATTCTACTTCTAAGTTGGGCTCTTCATTCATTTGTAATTATTTAGATTGTTTCCACGATTTTAAACAAGTCTCAATTTATTAGTATTCTGCATGCCCTGATAGTTTCTCTGAAGGTTCAGGGTAAGGGGAAAAATGGCTACCCAGTGGGCATTGGCTATTGAATTGATAGCCATGGGTCTGTGCCAGAAGGAGACACAAAATGGCCCCCAAACTGAACAGTGCCCCAGTCCTGGGAGGGAAAAACAGCCACCAGTTACATGGGTCTCCTGAGCCCCATGGCAGGTACGCCAGGTACAGAAGCTGCCTCTTCCATTGTCTGGCACCTGCTGGCATTCCTTGGCGTGTGGCCACCCCCCTCCAGGCTTCACGGCCGACATCCTCAGGTGTCTCTCTGCTCCATCTTCATATGACCTTCTCCTGCATGTGTATCAGATCTCCCTCTGTCCCCCCGCCCCAGACGATTCAGGATAACCTCCCCATCTAAAGAGCCTTAACTTAATCCCATCCACAAAGCCCCCCTCCCTCTCCCGGTTGGTGTTTTGCCAGATACGGAAGAATCCACAGATTCCAGGGACTAGGACAGGGGTATCTTTGGTCGGGGGACATTTTTTCAGCTTACCCACTGCATCCTAGCTCTAGCTTTTGACTCTGCTTAGGGCTGATGCATCTCTGGTGCACAAAAAAGCAGCCAAGAGGACCGCGTGTGAGATGAGAAGGCGCTGCACGCTTCTGTGAACCACCCAACTTCCCCTTTGACACCCTGTGGCTGAGGACCAGCCATGCGGACAGACGTGTGGCGGGGCATGTAGACTCACTACCCAGCACTGGCATCTGGGCATTTGTCACCCTGCCGCCGCCACCTTCTGCAGGGATCACAGCAGTGACTCAGGACAGCAGGCCGGTCGACGGTGCCCCGGGCACGGGTGGGAGTTTGGCCCTTCAGTCTGCTCTCACGGGCATTGGGCCATCGGGGCAGGAGACGGATCTCTCATTCACCCTGTTGTTGCTAACAGTAGGTCACCTTTAAACCTGCCCGTAGACCGTGCCAGACAAATTGCTAAAGAGCTGGCAGTGGCCTTGGGGGTTCAGCCAGTCTTCACGCCATCCTTGGGCAAGACCGAACCTGTGTGATTTATGACATTTCCGTGACTTCAAAGGCAGTGAGCGTTCATAACAAGTCCTAGGGAAGTTTCTAATTTCTCCAGAATAGTCTTCTGTCTCACCCTCCGGTAAATGCCATGAAGCATTAGTGCCTTGGCAGGGGGATGCAGGCCCAGGTTGGACCTACTTCATAAAGGGAAAAGCCATTTAACAGAATGACTTGTATATTTTATGAAATAGGATGAAATTATTAATTTGGAAAGCAATATATAAAACCTACAGTACATTTTACTTGCAAATTATTAATTAAACCATAATTAAATTAAAAAATAAAACTTCTAGCAGTAATGAACATTTTTGCCACCTTACACTTACTAGATATTGAAATTATGAATTATTTTTTTATCACACCATTGCATAATTCTGAGGTTTCTAAATACCCCAGTCTTCCTTTACTAATACTGATTGCTGGAGAACAGATTAAATATCCTGATGACAGCCATTTGTGTTACTTGCTTAAAACAGATACTTTCAAGCATGTCATCAATTCAACCAACAGGTCCATCTCTGGTTTTCCATGGTCTCCCACGGGCTGTTGTTTCTGCTTGCTCTCCTGCACGGAATAGAACTGTCTTTAAGATGAAGAGAGAAAAAGCTCTACCCCAATTGCTCCCGATTCCTTACTGAACGTAATGCTGGATGTGACCCAAAATGAATTCTTCATAGTACCTGGTTCCTTTTGAGCAAATTAAAATGAAACCAGTTGGGGCACCTGGGTGGCTCAGTTGTTGGGCGTCTGCCTTCAGCTCAGGTCATGATCCCAGGATCCTGGGATCGAGCCCCGCATCAGGCTCCCTGCTCGGCGGGAAGCCTGCTTCTCCCTCTCCCACTCCCCCTGTTTGTGTTCTTTCTCTCACTGTGTCTCTCTCTGTCAAATAAATAAGTAAAATCTTAAAAAAAAAAATGAAACCAGTAAAATAGTTTCTCCATATAAACTCAAATACATGGAAGTTTCATGGAAATCTTTTCAAAGATTTTCATGGGAAAACATATAAAAAACTTCCTTTAGGCTGTTAACATATTACTCTTTGGACGAGGTCATGAACAGTTTTTTTTTAAGATTTTATTTATTTGAGAGAAAGAGAGTGAGAGAGAGCATGAGCAGAGGGAGAGGCAGAAGGAGAAGCAGAATCCCCACCGAGTAGGGAGCCCAATGTGGGGCTCGATCCCAGGACCCTGGCATCATGACGTGAGCTGAAGGCAGACACTTAACAGACTGAGCCCCCCAGGCGCCCCGAGGTCATGAACAGTTGTAGACAACTACCTTCTCAGCAGCAGTAGGAGGTCCTCAGAGCTCCCTACACTTGATTCATCATTAGATCATAGTGTTAAAATGCAGGCCCCAGGGCCCTAACCACATAGATTCTGATTCACTGGATCTGGGATGGGCATTGGAAATCTGATTTGAGAACCGCCAGGCAATGTTAGACTGGACTTCTGACTTCAGCTCTCACCAGCTTGGCCACTAAAGTTCTTTGAGCCTGGCTTCCTTTGCTGAAAAATGGGGATGGTTGGACCTACCTGGCAGGGCTGTTGTCATAATTAGAGATCATGTCTGCTTGCCACGTGGTAGGTATTCGAGCAATGGCAGGAGCTGACGTTTGTCATCATGTTATGTCACACGTCTCCTTGCCCCAGTGGAAAACAGTGCTTTCAGCAGGTGTCAAATGTGAGGCGCCATGAAAAAGACACTGAAGCCAGTTTAACAGCAATGCCTGGAGGTCGGAGTGATGGGGGAGGACTTGGCTTTTCCCGCCACTAACTCACTACAGGCCTCAGGATTACACACGGGGGCAGGAAATCTAATATTCATTGAGCATCGACTATGTGCCAGACAACTGTGACGGCCTCTTTTACATAAGCATTCACATTTGATATTAAACACAATCCTGGAAGCCAATCCAAGAATTCCCATGTATTCCAAGAGGTCAAGGAATGTACATAAGGTAGCAGAGCCAGGATTTGGACCCACATTTGTTTGATTCCAAATTCTGTATGTTTTTCCTCAAAAGGGGAACAAAGTGGAAGGCAAGTCACAAATAGCCTCAAGATTCCTGAACGTGGTTCCCATCAGAGGGTGGCCCAAGACCACTGTAGAGTTCTGGTGGAAACTGTCTTACTCTCAAGACCGGGGCAGGGGGTGGTCTTGGTGGGGATAGACAGCGAGGGCAGGAGGTTCTTAGGAAATCAAACATATCATCATAAACTTCAGCTTGATTTGCCTCCGGAGGGAGGGGCTGGGCCGATGACCAAAGGGAACCAGGAGGGGGGTTCTCCTGCCACTCTTGCTCAGCAGCCTCTAATAAAGATTTACTTTCCTTTTTCTTTTACTGTAACGCCAGCAGCGTGCCTTCTTGGGTTTGATGAGCTTCTACAAACCAACACTTACCTGTTTGTATTTAGCTCAGAGTAGCCTGAGACTCTAGCCAAGTAACAGCTGCCTGCATGATGGTTGCTAACTGCCTGGGGAAACAGCATTTAAGTCTTAGGAATGTCCGTCCTCCGCAGGAGCTGCACCAGGCAAATCGAGATGCTTTTGATTTTTATTTTTTGAAGGTGCTTTCTACTTTTTTGAGTGAGATATTTTCCTGTGGAAGAAGGTTATTATGCTTTGAGGGGGTCATCCTAACCTGATTTACCTGTTAACTCACAGTCTTGGACGGATTAAGAAGCATTTTATAGGGGCATGCCAAGACCGGAGGAACCAACTGCTGGCCCTCACGTCTTCATCTCATCTGCTTCCCCCACTTTCTGTAGGAATTTTATCATTTGGGTAGCCACAAAGGGGGCCACCTTTTTACGGTTCTCACTGGGATTTTTTTATTTGAACTGGTGAAAGCTTACTCTTTAATGAGACTATAATTTTAAGGAGCAGTTCCTCTAGAAGCTGGGCGAGACCCCAAGTATCCCTTTTATGTGTATGTTGGAAAGGGATGTTTATCCTTTCTCTTTGTGTGGGAAATCAAAGTGCCCCCAAAGACAATAATGCATAGCCCAGCTCCCGCTTTAACACAGAAACCTAGGAAAAGGTATTTTCCTTGTCTGCGGTCCACCTGTACTCCGTTTGTGGTTCACAGGAAGCTGGATCCACACAACCTCATAAACAGTGTATCTTTGGCTTGGGGTATTTCCATGAGTTGCTTTCTGTGAACACATACACCACACCATCCCCGTTGCTTCCCTTCATTTCCTACCTGAGCAGAGACAGCGTTTCCCCTCTCAGTGGCCAGGGGACGTTTCTAGACAGAGTGTCCTGTCATCTTCTTCTTCTTTTTTTTTTTTTAAAGATTTTATTTATTTGACAGAGAGATAGAGAGAGCACAAGTAGGCAGAGCGGCAGGCAGAGAGAGAGGGAGAAGCAGGCTCCCCACAGAGCAGGGAACCGGACGTGGGGCTCGATCCCAGGACCCTGGGATCATGACCTGAGCCGAAGGCAGACGCTTAACCGACTGAGCCACCCAGGCACCCCTGACCTGTCATCTTCTAAAGCAACAATACAGTACAATCTAAGGCAGCCGTCATCCTGAATGCAAATGACACAAACATAGATGTCATCTTGGAATTGCAAAAACAAAACCCAAAAACTAAAGCATCATCCTTCAGCCTAGCCATCTGATCCCCTTGATTTCTGTGCCCATGTTCTTGGCACCTGTTATAATATTGCCGGAGTCAGTGGAGCTTGACCAGTTAAGATGTTAATAAAACACGTGTTTATAAACTCGGAAGGTTTAGATGAAATCACACGTGAACACTTGCCTGTTTTGGCAGGGGGGCTTTTCGTTGATGAATATGTAAGAGCCGATGGGTAGGTTACACCCTTTTGGGGTTTACTTTCTGCAAAAAAGAAAAAAAAAGGAAAAAAATGATTTATTTCTAGAGCTAGAAGTTTTAGATGGTTCTGTTCTGGTAAGTTGATTCCCTCCTTCCTATTTATCTCTCTGGAGTTCAATAAATCCATCAGTCTCCCCCCGCCCAGGTGAATTGTTGATTACAATAAGAAAGTCAAGAGATGTTTTGTTTTCCTATAGAGCTTGCGTTTTATTAATATTAGAAAGGAAGCAATAAAATGTCCATGACTCAGAGTTCCCATTAGTAACCCTTATTCTGCTCATGAAGATGTGACATATAAGCTAAGGTTTTCATACATGTGGTGTTGAATGTTTAATTAGGTCAGTAGATGGATGTAAAAACACTCCCCCACGCTCTCCTTCTGGACGCCCCAGAGCTCTGGTCACAGGCTAGCCTTGCAGAATAGCTCTCTTTCCCTTTCACGGACCCAGTGGGATCCATTTGAATTCCATGGCACTAGAGAAACCTAAAAGTAGGTTTCAAAATAAGCATTTGTTGCCCACCTAGGGAAAGAGAGTTTAGAGGCCAGATGAGGAGAAGAAATGTTAATATGTATCAGGGAAACAAGGGAGGCATAAAAAAGAAAAACGATCAGGTGATCGGGGCTGGATAAGGAGGTACTAAGCCTGATAGGACTGAAAATTGCCTGAGAAGGCTGCAGTCTACAAAGCCTCCCTCCACCAGGAAATGATGCCTGACATTCCACCACAGGAGTTTTGCTCCACAATGAGATGGAAAGTGTCAGTTGGGATATAGAAGCCTCCCCTCACCCCCGAAGGTGGGGGATCCGTCTCACTTGGTAACTGTCGGATCAGCATCTAGAGCAGTGTCTGCAATGTAGGAGATGCTCAATAAGTATTTATTCAGAAAAGGAATACCTTAATGCTTAGATCTCTGTTACAACTCAGAGGGGTCTCACCTGTTATCTAATATTTACATCTGATAAGGAAAGAATTTTAATGTACAATCTAAGGAAGTAGTTTTATAGGATAGGCCTGGGGAGGAGACAGTGAGGAGTGTCGTATGGAGAGCCTGAGGGGTGGGACAGAATCTAGAGCACGATTTTGCCAAAAGCCCTATTGATACAAGGGATTGCAGAGTCAGGAAGCAGACGGAATGACAGGGGCTCAGAAAGGGCCTGGCATTGGGAATAAGAACCTCTAGGTTTCTGTTCCAATTTGCCATTAATTAGCTGCCTCAATCACTGAGACTCTCATTTTTCTCATTCGGGAAATATGGACAACGATATAGGCCAATTTACTACATTAGGTTGTAGGGATCTAATGAAAAAAAGAGTTAAACTCTTTTGGAACTATATGTTACCAGAGAGATGTGAAGATTCTATGCTGACATTACCTATAAATATCACTCAAAGTGGTGATGAGGCAAAATGTTTGGGCTTATGGAGTTATTTCATCTCATTCAAGTCCCCCCCGCCAGCCCCGGGGGAACAGAGCTTGGCCTTTCCAGGTCCCCCACCCTTGTCTGGGCCGCCTCCAAACAACAGTGACTGAGGTTCTTTCGGACCCAAGGAGGGCCCCACGGCTGCAGGCCTCACTTTATCAACAGAGCGCACTGCAGAGACATCATCTCCCTCTGTTTACTCTTCTCACATCTGAAATCCTCTGGTTCTTTCTGCTTCTATTCAGAAGGAAAAGGAACATGAGCTCAGTTTTCTGAAATGTGGATCAAAGAACAAATGGGCTGTATTAGGAGGTCCCTCTCTGACCTTGCCTATCCCTGGACTGTCAAAAGATTGTGCTGACCAAAAATGCACATCCCAGGTCCTGCTCCCGTCCCCGCCCGCCAAAGTGAATTAACTAAAAGCACAGTGATCTGTGAAAATTAGAAATAAAAACCTAGAGAGAGGTCACGGAGGCACCTGAGCCCTCAGAGGAGGATTCGGACCCAATCCAGCTAAACTTGAGCCCCCAGATAGTGGGGAACAAGCCTTGGCTACTGGCCAGTCAATGCCCTTATGCTGCAATGAGCTCTCCCTGTTCACCCATTCGGAAGAGGCTCCTAGGCGTTGCAGAAGCACACGTTTGTTATAATTGGCAAGAAGCGTTTTGGTTAAATGTCACTACGTGAAATGAGGGGACACGGAAGTTGAGATTTATAGGGAATAATCTCAGCAGACTGATTTTCATTTACAAAACTCCAAACATCTCTACTCTCTTGGAGTTAATTTTTCTTTTTAAACCTCTGTTGGGATTCTTGAATTGCAGGCTATGCACTTAAGATTGAAACATTCTTACTTAGCCAGGAGCAACTTGGTAAACACCTATGTAGAGATTATATTTCTCTCTATATTTGACACATTTGGATTCTAGATATTAGCATTTTCATATGGCCCCTATTCTGCATTCTCTCAGATGTTTGATGACTTTCCACTATCTGACATAGAAACCCATTTAATTTGAGCCCTGGGTGTGCAGAATTCTGCAGGCAAGAGGAAGCAGGGACTGCTCAAATTGTGAAGAACCCTAAAAGGTCTCTTTGTAGTTCTGTTAAAACTCTGGTCCATGGAGGATAGTAGGAGTTGGGGCTTGGGACACATAAAGGTACCAGAAAACTACCTAGACTAGAAGATCTACTATGTTACAAAATATTTCTCCCCTCCTTGCTTTAATTGGTCCTTCCATAGGTGGTTTCTCAGGAGAGTGACATGGCTCCTAATCTTGTTGGGGTGCCAGGAAGCTTTGTTAGAATCTATTTAAAATCATGTGAAGCCTTTTTGAAGAAAATGGGAGATTCAAGGCCCAGAGTAAGGCGAGTATAAGATGGTGATAGGACACTGTGTTGTGCTCAAACACCAATCAGGACATGTCAAAAAAAAAAAAAAAGCCTGAAGGGCTCCCACTGGCCAAACTTGGAAAATCTGAGTGCCAAAAAGAATAATGATAATAATGGATTATAACATATTTTCGAAAACAATCCATGAGTCCATAGTGGTACTTGAAAAAATAGGTGTAGAGAGGGGGAAATACCCCTCTTCTTTATATAAGAATACTTGCTAATAAATGTGGAAGGAATGACGGGATTAGAACAATCATAATTTTTTAATTTCTAGTGCAATTCTTGCTACTGCAAGGATCACCGACAGATGTTAAAACCATTGGGTGAATTTGTTGGGGAATGAGTTATTCATGCTGTTTGGAAGTATCACCCTACAGATTACTTATTAATTACAAGGTATCTTTACCATGGAGAGAGATTGTAATGTATCCAACCAGTCAACTGTAGCATCACCAACGACTGGACAAACTGGCATTATTGTGCCTCCTGAGAGGGCCACTGTGATACGGCAGAATGGATAGGCTAGGATACTACCTAGGTAGGACCCTTGGCAAAGTAGTTAACGTGAATCCAATCATGAGGAAATAGCTGGACGTGTTTGTGAGACACAGCACTAGACAACTGGCTGGGACTTCAAAAATGTCGTTGCCATTCGTGACCAAAAAAGGTGCTGCGGTGGTAGCTCATTCTAGATTAAAAGAGAGTAAACAGACGTGCCAACCAAATGCAATGGATGGTTTTTATTAGACTGTGGATCAGAAAGAAAGAGAGAGAGAGAGGGAGAGGGAGGGAAGGAGGAAGGGAGGAAGGGGAAGGAAGGAGAGAGGAGGAGGACTAAGAAGAGGAAGAACTTGCTATGAAGACTATTTTAGGATAACCGGATATAATTGAATAAGAACTATTTGTTAGATAACATTATTGTATCAGTGTTAATTTTTTAGGGGTGGTATTGGTAATTGGTTATTTAGGAAAATATTCTTGTTTTTACCAGGTTTGTGCTGAAGTATTGAGAGATGAAGTGTCATGATGCCTTGCGGCTTATTTTCACAGGGATTAGAACAAAATAAAATAAATGATAGGTAGATAGATAAAGCAAATGTTGCTAGGTGAAGGGAATGTGGGTATTCATTGTAGTGTTCTTTTAATTTTTCTTTCAATTAAAATTCAAAATAAAAGGTTAGGTTGGGGGAATGTCACAAAAATAGGCAAGGGCAGGTCATGATAATAGATACTTGGTTACCTTTTCACTGTGAAATCACACTAGTCATTAGCTCACTGACATCACCTCATTGGAAGAGAGAAGTAAAGAGTGAAAATGATTGTCTGCAAAAATCCTAAGGAGCTAGAGAGCAAGAACTGGCTAGTTAAACAATTAATTAAACAAAAAGAAATCTCAAAATAGTAGCTTGGTTCTCTAAGAGCCTATATCCCTATCCATTTGCCAGAAATATCAAGAAATGAGGATCCAGATATGAGACCTATTTGGCCTCACTAAAGGAATAGTTAAAAAGAACCCAAGTTATTAAATGTAATTCACTTCATTAAAAGTTTGACTGGATTTACGGGTAGCTGCAGTGTGTTTAAAATGAGCAATTGGAGCCTTCTAATATTTCCAGACTTTGTAGTGATTTATCACCATCATTATGATTTATTGTTTCATGATCCTAATTATCGGAAGAGCTGATGCTTCAGATTTTGATGAAATGAGTCGGGCCACGCACTAAAGCCAACAGAACATTGAAAAGAGCACACTTCATCCCGTGAGGTCACTTAGGCCAAGCGCCCGGGCACGGCGGGGCCTCTCCAGAGCACGGGCCTACCTGAGACAATGAAGGACTCTCTCCAGCGTGGCAGCGACAATGATTGCACGCCATTGGAGTAACTCCCTTTGTAGCCAGATTGTCCAGCGACTTTCCGAACAAGTATTTTCCCTCCTGAATTATCAAGCACGCCACTATGGAGGGAAACAAAAATGTGAAGAACAGAAAAATACCGTTTGACGCAATCAACCGACCATCAAACCAGCCTCTGTCTTTACTGAAAGATACCAAAGCAGGGAGATTAAGATGAGGTTTACCCTGACTTGCAGCCCACCCCCCAAGAAGGGTGCCTCCATCGCATGGCCCAGCATCTGACCTTGAGGTCAGACATCCCCTTTCTTATCATCAGGACCTGGTTGTTTCGTTAGGCAGCAATTTCTCTTTGCCACCGTGCCTCAGATTTCTTTTCCTTGGTTTCCTCAACCCCACTAGTTCGTTCTTTTAAGTAAAACGTCTTTCCTGACCATTTCTAATTTGGTGTCATGACATGGCAGAATGACTCCCGCTACTTTGAAGGGTGGCCATGACATTTTGCAAAACACATTATTCCTTTTATTTTGGGCCAGGGAAGGGAGGTGTGCAGCTAAACTGAACTCATTAAAAAGATTCCCTCCTAGAAATCATTTCTTTAATTTCTACGATTCTGAAGATTTTAGATCCTGATGTGACAGAGACTGACGTATCTACCTCTTCGCTTGCACGTGAAGCAAGGCCTCCATTCTGGTTCCTCAGCATCCCTTCCCCTTGTCCTTTCTTTGCCCCAGAGCCTAAAATGGCTCCTGTGGGTATCTGTGATTTGTAGCACACAGGCAGCTAAAAACGCGCTTAGATTTGTTCTCATCAACACCCTCCCTCCCCTCCAGGAATGAGAGCTGCCGTTTCCTGCCCCCCCACCTTCACGAGTCAAGAACTTTCAACACTCAACTGCTCAGTGACCCGGAAGGAAGGAAAGCGATAATAGTACTTGACATATAGAGCACGTAAGTGCTTTAAAATCATCCCTGTGTGAGGTTTCTCGCCGGCTCCTCCCGGCAAACCTGTGAGTTGCAGAGGGAAGGTGGTGCTATTGTTCCCATTTCCCAGAATCGGGCTTGGACCAGTGGAGTGACTCAGTCCAGATTTTGTAACTGGTTCAATTGCAAGGGAGGGATTTGAACCCAGGTCTAGCTGACCTGGAATCCTGGGTTTGTCCCACTTGGTCACAGTGGCCCCTCAGAGTCCGAAAGCATGGGTACCTCCTGATGCCAACTCCTCATCTTTCCAAATCTTTTTTTTTTTTTTTTATTCTGACCTGGAGAGATTTTCATTTATCTTTTGAGGGTCATCTTTCCAAATCTTTGTGACCCTGCCCTCTCTTTTCTCTCGGGAGCTCAGAATCCGTTAGCTCAGGTCTCCCAGGTGCAGCCAGGCTGGTCTCAGCGCCCCCAACAGAGCACATGGTTTCCACTCACGCGTCTTGTTCATGCTGCTCTTTCCCTCTGGAAAACCAGCTCCCACTTCTGCCTGACGAGGCCCAACACTTTCTTCTCCACAGAGATTCTGAAAAGACTTGGCTCCATCCCTTCCTAACGATGCCTCAGACTCTTGTCTCACAACCCAGACTCTGATTTTATTTGGTCTTGTGCGATTTCCTAAACATTTCTTGAGTTGATTTTTGTCTCCCAACTAGATTAGACGTTTTTCTTAGGGAAAAGACAGTATTTTATCCTTCTGCGTGCGTTGGAAGGCCTGTCGGTGGAGTGTGGATGCCACCCACAAGGGCTTATGAAAGCCAACTGTTAACTTTCCAGGATTGTGAGAGTTGGTTCACTTCACACGGTAGCTTGAAATCAGCCACGGTGGGAGGATTTAAACCCCTGAAATTGGTAACTCAGCACTACCCCCGCTTTGGGGGAGCTGGCCATTCAACATTGACAAGCACGGCCCTTGTGTAGGCTGAACATTCTATTTGTTTGAAAAAAAAAATATATCCCCTGCTCCCTTTACTTATAATTAATGGGGAAGATAGAAATAACAGCTTTTTTCTTTCCCTCCCAGGAAATTATTCTGCCCTCGGTTTCATAGTCCATTGTATTGAGGAAATGTGTGTGGGGGCACTTGGTCTCCTGTTGAAGTGAAGTCCGAAGCACGGCAGGGGCCATTCGCAGTGAGGGGGAGGGGGGCCTGTGGTGAGCTTCCCTCAGGCTGTGTGAGGAAATGGGAAGGGCCCAGGGGCTTCTCAAGCTGGACAGGGCTGCTGACGCCCCATCTGAGGGTGATGTGAGACTGAAAACCCAGCCTTCAGGGAAGGTGCAGGACGGAACTATGGTGTGCTCATGAGATTTCTCTATTGCAGGCAAGAGGGATGCCTCATCTTGAGGATGGACTTAACTGGAGGATGTGGATCTTCTCAGATATTCTAGAGAAGGGTAGATGCTGGGGAGGTCAGTGGTCTATAAACTCCAGATGCCAACGGCAGTCCATGGAGGTGGAATGCACCAGAGACTCGACCACTGGAGGAGACACTGGAGGAGGGAGAGAGTCTGCAAGAGGCTGTGGTTTCACTTAGGAAGCAGATAGGAGCCATGGTACTTTGGAGAATTTATGTAAATGTGACCTCATTTCTATCCTCACTCAGGGATAGGCACCTCATATATATTCTCTGAAAGAGCAAAAACCGGTTTCACTTCTTTGCATCCTCAGATGCCCTGCTTGATGCTAGACATAGCCTTCAGATTCCTGTCCTCCCTGACCCCGGTGCCAGAGGCCTGGGCTCAGCTGAGGGTCAGCTGCATGGTTCGGAGAAAAGGGCTGGGATTTGAACAATTGCCATTCTCAGGGTAGGCATCTGGTCAGAAATCAGCATGAAGAGTGCTCTGCATGGGGGTTGCCCCCTCATCGCCCCATTGGGGAGAAATCTTCCTTCTCCCCAGCACTTGGTCCCACTCTAAATACAGAGGTTGATTCAGGACAAGACTGAGCCAAAATATGATGCCTCAAATACATTCATCATCCCTTTGGTTTGAAAGAATCGAGGGAATCACTCATAATAAGACATCTGATTATGATATATTGTATGAATATTAAATCCTAAAGCTAATCTGAATGTCTGAACCAAAGTGTGCTCTCTCCAGCCTCCCAGTTCTGATCATGGGGGGCTCTGACAGGCCAATATTGGAGGCCCCGTGTGTACTTTCTACTCAAGTTCTCTGTCTTGAATCCTGCCTTCTGAAAACAGACTTGTTCTGTGTGTGAAAAAAAACAACTGAGAGTATCCAAAATTCCTATCTGTTCTCCCTTAAGACCTCTATTCATCCTTCTCATGGACAGTGATACTTCTTTCTGAATAGAGTTTCCCACTAGATCAGACGCTGGTCCAGGAAGTTTCAAAGGGCACTTGGTTGCTCAAGTAGCAAATCTTGTTTTTTGAAACATTCAAGTTCTTCTCCACCCCTCTACCCTCCTCTATAGTCTCTCCACGAGTTCCTACACCCCAGTCCAAATGCTGGGATTGCCGAGTCCTGGTCCTTGTCAATACCCTTCTTATTTTGTCCCCGGTGGTGTGTCCATCCATCATAAAGCCATTCCGACTCTTACTGGTCCAAAGTCTGCATCCACTTCCCTTTGTATATTAAGCAGTACTGGGGCTCCCCTGTTCTTATGTAAATGTGTCGCTTGGGCTCTGGACTGGAAGTCCCGGGACATGAGCTCTAATCCTGAATGTGCAACTAACTAGCCATTGAATTAGCTTCCTTATTTCTCAGCCCCTCTTCTAACAAATGGGAATGTTAACAGCAGCCTCGTGGGGTTGCGATGATGCTAGAAGGAGAGAATCACAGTGCAAGGGATTACTGTGATTATGACGGCATCTTTGTGAGGCTGGATTAACTCATGCGACTCTGACCTGCCTGGGAAACACAGAAAGGCAAGACAGAGCCAGCAAGGGACAGAGGAAGCAAGTGCCCACCATTTTGGATCCCAGCTGGAAAAATATAGGTGACCTTAAGACAGGCTCGGCCCCTGCAACAGACATCAGTGTCCACATAGACACGGACTGGAGAGTGCTTATGGTGTGGATGCTGTTCGGGCGCGCACACGCATGTGTAAGGATGCATGTGAGCATGCACATGTGTGCAAACATATGTGTGGGAGCAGGCATTGTGTGTATTCATGCACACGCACGTATGGGTAGATTTGTGTACCTCTTTCCTTTTTGCATGAAATTTCTTTCAGAGTGAAAGCAAAATATTTTTTCTACAGTCTGGGGTTAAGAAACAGGGTTTGGTATAGTTCTTCTTGAATGTTTCCCTACTTCTCCATAATAGAGCCTTCAGAGTCCTGCTCCCGTTGGAAAATCAGTCAAGCTCATCAGCCCTCCACAGCAGCGGTGAGGAGGACGGCAAACAGACTCTGCTAGTAATTCTTAAATCTCAGTTTACACATAGACTTCGTTCTTGCTGCTTCCCCAAATTTCTGAGAAGCCACTGACGAGACACCTGGAGAGGGAGTAAATTTTACATCTTTCCCCCTCTCTCTGGCAGGGATAAATGGATCCATCACCTGACTGGTGTGCAAGTAAAGAGAAGGAAAAAGATCCTGAAGCCCAAATACTTCAGAAACTTTGCCCAGTATCTGGTGGCTGAGCATTGATTCCGGAGTCGTGTCCCAAAGCATCTCAAAGTGGTGGTTAGGAGCGTGGGCACTGGACTTAGGTTCAAGTCCCCACTTGGATACTTGTTAATAGTGCGGCCTTAGAAAAGCTAGTCAGTGTCTCTCCTCTTTAAGATGTGGATAACAGTAGTAGCTACCGCATAGGGAACCGTGAGGATTAAATAAGGTGACATAAGTGAGATGCTTGACATGGACACTCTTAGCCTTATTATCAAAGATAGGAAGTAAACACGCATCTCCCTGAGTTTGGACTCCCAGCCTAAGCAAAAAGGTCTGAGGATTCTGTGAAGGTCACTTCTGCTTCTCTTCATTTAGGCAGTGACTTAGTTCAAAGCATGTCAAAGGAAGTATCCTGTCCTCCTTCCTGGAGCCCAAACCAACAGCTGCCCAAGCAGAACCACCTGTCACCCTCTTCCTCACTTTTCCTGTTCTACTCATCTCCAGGCCATCACCACTGCTGTGACATTTCTTCTCCAAATTTCCAGGCCTTCCTTACTCACATCCCTATTATTTCCTCGTTCAGTACATACAGGTAGAAAAAACATGCTTTATGTCACCGAGAACTATGGTTTCCTTGTCATGAACATGAGAGAGTAGAATTCTCCTCCCCATCCCCTTAGGGTCGGGGAGAAGTCGGTCCTTTCCACGGAGCACTGTGAAAGGAGATCTGGGACCACGCATGGCTTCTGCGTAATCCCATGGGGTAGGGTTGCCACAAGAAGTACTGGATGCTCAGTTACATGTGTACAGTGTTGCTTGCTCAATCAGGCAACCTGCACGGGGAGCTCCCTCCCCACAGCCTGACTGCTCGTTGTTAAGTAGCTTGGAGCTACCCACCTGTGAATCGCGGCGCCACACACGCTCGAGTAAGATGCATAGATATCCGTGCCATAAACGTGGTATTTCGGGTCTTGGCATCCTGCCGGACATTTTACAACAAACTCAGGATTGATTATCTTTCCAGCTTTGACATCGCAGTTGATCTGGGGCACAGCTGGGAAAGCAAAATGAGGTCAAAATTACACTTAGTGGTATCAGCTTATATATGGGATGACTCTGTTAGGTCATAACTGTTCATTTACTTAATCTCCAAAAGCCAGAGCCTGGGCTGACCCTGGGTCCTCTCCATATAATGAAAGCAAAGATATAATTAGGACATTCCTCAGACCAAAAGAACAACAATGACCATCAGTTGCATTTAACCTGCTGAGAGCAGAAACAGAGGTGGAATCTTGTGCTTCTCCAGACAATTGAAGAGGAGAACTCTGGGAAAAGACCCACCTCCAAGGGTCAGAAACGTCACCTTGAGCCCATGGCTGGAGAACACTGGTTTTTCAGATGCTCAGGAGCTAGCCCAGGAAAAGAGGGACCTCTCAGACAACCTTACAGGACAGAGGGAAGGCATTTCAGGAAGGGTAAATGAGGGAGGCTGGGCCTGGGGGCCAGGAGGCCAGGACCAGGTTGGCCTGCTGCCTCAGAGGCCCTGGGCTGGAGCCAGGCAGGAGGATGGAGAATGGGAGCGTTGGGCCAGGTGAGGGAGGCGGCAGTGCTTGTCTTTTGTTCAGGAGGTGGGGCACAATGGAAGGTTCTTGGACAGGGAGACAGATAATGAAAGAGATCTTTGGTTGAAGTCCTAGAGAACGGGTCCTAGATCCAGGGCAAGATGAGAGCCATCTTTACTCATCTCCCTCAACACTTGGTGGAAAGCGTGGAAATCCCCCATGGAGCATCCAGAAGAAATTCATTCTTTCCTCTCTCCTTTTTGGCTTTGTTGCAGCTGTTGCCAGACTAGCACTGTCCATCAGGCGAGTCTTCTAGAGCTGAGAGCTTGCCCGGGAATGAGGTGGCACAGATTGTCTAGGGGCAGTACCTGAAAGGGGGACTTGCTGCGTCTTTCCTGAAAAAATGGCCCTCAAAACTCCTGAAGGGAAAGGTCTCCTAGACGATACTATCCTGGTGCCCTTGTAGCTAGGAATGTCTTCTGTTCTGGGCCCCTTTCTTCACAAGGGACTCTGAAACATGAGCACAGTTCAGAGAGTAAGCAGGCTCAGGAAGAGTCCAGAAACCATCAGATGTGAGGGCTGGCTGGCAGACGGGGCTGTTCGTCCACGAGGAGGTGAGAATCTGGAGGAGGAAAGGGGTCCTTGTCTTCCCAAGTAGGACTGTTGTGTGCCATGACACCAGACGGCCAAGCGAGAACGAAAGGGGAGATTTTCTACAGAGGCAAATTCTGCAAAGAAGAACTTTCTAGTGCCTGAGGTTGCCCCTGAAGGAAGGGGCTGCCTCCTGAAGCAGTGCATGCTCTGAAGCATGCGAGCAGGGACTGAACAGTGGAAGAGGGGATTTCTGCATTGGGTGGGAGGGAGAAATAAAGCCCCGCCCAGTGCTAAGAGTCCGTGATTACACACAGGGATCCAGGATCTCTGCCAGGCCACCCACCCTCTGACTGGGTTACCGAGATGGTCTCAGAGTTGTTAATGGCTTCCAGCTGTATCCAAGACACACACTCTTTTTTTTTTTTAACCCTTATGTACCTGGACAGAGCAGAGTTGCGTTTCACTCAGACTACAGAGAGAAGTGAAGTTAGAACTCCTGCTCTTTTCCTAAACACTCCTCCCAGTCGATCTTGGCCATGCAGGGCTGGGCCAGCATGGAAGCCCTTCTCCTGGGCGCGGTGGGGGGGGGCGGGGGCAGGTCTGATCGCAGGCTAAAACAATTTGTGGTCTCGGTTAAGAAGCCAAGCCCTGTGCTCTGAGCAGCCTGCGCGTTTTCTCCTCCCTACCACAGGTGGCCTCCTCTCCAAAGCTGTGTTCCTTTTATCTTTCATTCTTTTCAATCCTGATACTCAAGGCTGCATTTACTATTTTGAGCCTTAGAATATTTATTTATTTTTTTTTAAAAAGGCACTTTGGGGCCTAAAGACGCCAGTGTCTTCTCTCCTGAAATTAGTTAATTGCTCCCTGGGTGTAACTGGATGTGCTCAGCTCCCCTCCCTTCTGCACCCCACTCCCCCACTCCCAAATGCATCTGCTCCTTCACCTGGACACAAAATGGACCTGCCTTCTTGGTTCTCAGGTATTTGAACTAGGAGGTGACCGGCTCTGAACTGGGATTTAATGTGGATGTGACTTTGGCTCCCAGAGGTTTTGGCTCTCCTGGCAGGCCAACCCAAATTTTCTGGAGTGGAGAAGTTAAAAGGGGGAGAAATCTAGAAGCTTATTGCATGAGTGTTACACAGTGATCAAAGCTACTGAAAGACTTCAGGGTATTCACAGTACAGGAAGGGGTTTTCCATGAAATAGTTGGTTTAAAAAGACAAGGGGGAAAAGGTCACATGGGAATATTTTGCTTCCTGCTAATCAAATTCCCCTTTCCCTTAAGGGGTGTTTGTTTGTTTGTTTGGTCTCAGTTTTTACAAAGGCCTGGAAGTAAGTTAAATGAGATCAGCTTTAACTGCACCCAGTTCGATCAGTAAAATCAGTGACTTAACTGGACCCCTAGCAGGGAAAAAATTAAATCAAGCACATACGCTCATGTGCTTTGGAAAAACAGGGTGCAATGGCAAAGTGTGGCTAAAGGTCAAATATTTGTTAAATTTGTACAGAATATTAAGCTGGAGAGAGTGAGCTAATTAAAAGTAATTGCCAAAATCACTGGAAAGTAATGTCTGAATCCGGCCTCTGGAAGTGGCAGCCATTTGCATCTTTTTGGCCACTCTTCTTTGAGTATGGAAACCACGGTTTAGTTCTTTCCAGTATTCACCTGGTTGTTTGTGAAGTCGTCTGTTTTCTTGTAACCTCTGAGAATCTTTCCTCCATCCACTTAAGGCCCAAACGAAGTGATTTCTCTTTGCATTTCCTCTGAACACTTTTGAACTATTCGATCCTACAGCTTAGGTTTTCCTTTTTCTTTCTCTTTTGTTGTTCAGATTCATTTTCGTGTCTCCCTTCACCTTTCTCTGGGTGTTTTCTCAGATGTGCAGAAATAAGACTTCTTTAAGAGGACAAGTCAAAATTAAGGCAGCTCAAGAATACCCCACTATTAACCTCAGGAGACAACTTAGTTAGAAGTCATCAAAAGGTTTCCTGCCAGGCACGTTTTCAGAAAGCAAGGCAAGAGCCTCTCCCATTCCTTCCTGAGTCGTCGCCGTGGTAGTTAGGGAGCCCAGAGATCCTGGGGTTGCCCAGAGCTGCGTGGGTAGAACCTTTGCACAGAGACCTGTTCCTCGGCCATGTGCTCTTCTTCTCCCTCACAGGATGCCTTGCCTTCTCATGGTAGCTATCACTTTCATGACACAGCTCAACATCAGAGCATCGCAGAATCCACCAAGGATTTCTTCCCAGAGGCCCTTGGCACCAGCCACAGGCAAAAGAGAACCATCTGCAACCCGGATAGTTAGAACTAAAAGATGACCTTTAGATGCTGCTCCCTGAGGTCTTGTGATTGCTGTATGGATCTCAGAGGGTCCGTGGGCAAAACCCGTAGTGTCTGAGCCACTATTTCCTGCAATACTGGAATCTTAGAGGCAACACTGCGCGTGCTCCTACCCTGGGTTGGGTCTCCTGCCTGATCTAATAGCGGATCAGGTGACGGGTATTCAGACCAGGTGATGTCACATACAATAAGCCAATGACGCAGCAGGCCAAATCAAAGGGAAGACTCTACTTCTTGTTTTCCACTCGTCTTTTTGCTGATCCCGGGCAGGCTATGTTGCTTTTGGAAAACAGATTTCCTAATCCATTCAGAGAAAGCCATTGTAAGCTCGCCTCCTGGCTGCTTATGAGGAAGAATTGTTATAACATAAAAACATTTATGCAAAGTTGTTTTGATATGAAAGTTGATTTTGTTAGACTGTGATATTGAAGTAGAGCAAAATCCTACTTTAAGAGAATTATACAAAAATGTAAATTTAATGAAATAAAAATGACCATTAAGGGCGCCTGGGTGGCTCAGTTGATTAAGCGACTGCCTTCGGCTCAGGTCATGATCCTGGAGTCCCTGGATGGAGTCCCGCATCGGGCTCCCTGCTCGGCAGGGAGCCTGCTTCTCCCTCTCCCACTCCCCCTGTTTGTG